ACGGATAGTAGATTTCATGAATACCCCTTCTTATGAATTATCAAAATACTTAGCTCTTATATTAATTCCCATTAGGAATCGTTCAAATTCTAGAATAACTTATTGAATGAGATGAGAAATAAACTAAATGACATTCAATTAAACAATAATGAAACAATGGTTAGTTCTGACATAACAAGTCTATATACTAATACACCAATCAATATGGCTTTAGAAGCAGTTCAAAAAGGACTAACTGCAGATCCCGAACTTACTCATAGGACGAAAATGGCCATCGAGGAAATTATTTTAGCAATTCAGTTATGCCCCACATATTCTATCTTTAAATTCCAAGGCAAAATATATAGACAAATAGAAGATGTAGCAATGAGATCACCAATATCCTCTATCGTAGCAGACATATTTATGGACAGCTGGGAAAATAGTGCCCTCAATACATTTAACCCTACTCCAAAAATATGGTGGAGATATGTGGATGACACTTTCGCACACACTGTTAAAAACAGAGCATATCTCTAGCTTCTTGACACATATAAACTCATAAGTGCGTCGGTGGCACAGTGGTTAGGACTCTCGCCGACCATGCACATGGTCCGGGGTTCGAGCCCGCACCGACGCACATCTGATATCTATGGTCGGCCTGCAAAATTTGGGCTACCGATATCCATGCTGAAAATTCCATACTTATACCAAAAATACAGTGTGGAATCAAGCTGTAAATCAAAAAAAAAAAAATAAGTTGAGGGAATAAAATTCACATTTGAATCAGAAAATGAACAAGGAGAATTAGCTATCATGTTAGGCAGAAGAAGGTGAACCACTCACTAGCGTTAATAAATAGCCAACGCATTCTAATAGATATTTCGATTCGATTCATCTCATACGATATCTGTTAAGGCAGGCTTAGTTAAGTGTCTAACAAACCGAGCAACAACATTACTGAGTAGTACAGCAAAGAAACATAAATAATGAAATGAAAGTGATGGAAGAATAGGTGGTTGGTATCATGTAACTATCCTATAAAATTCATTAGGAAGATCAGAAAGAACCGAAAGCAAAATAAAAATAATTGAGAGACTAATAATGATAACATAAATAAGTGAGAATACAAGGCATCTACTGTTGTACCATATAAGGAGGCGACATCTGAGACCTTAAGTAGGATTCTAAATAAGGCAGGAATTAGAGTGGCATTTAAACCTAAGTACTCACTGTGGTATAACCAGCTCTGAGGGTTAAAGAAACCTGTCGGTTGACTTGATTAAACGAAATAATATAATTTACAAAATACCGTGCAGTGATTCTGAGGTGAGTCACATAGGTTAAACTAGTATATCGGGGGTAGTCAGACTGTCAGAACACATGAATTTAGCTGAGTTAAGAATGACTGACTCCACCCTTGAAGACAAGAAATTTAGAAAAAAGCTCAGGGATTTCACTGCATGCAATAACACACAACCACACAATAGGGTGGGTGGGAGAGGATTAAAATTCTAAAATGTAATCTAGGTAGGTGTAGAGAGAGGTTGATTACTGAATCTTTTTGTTCATCGAGTCTACACCCAACACATGCAATAGGAATGATTCATTACTCATACCTGAAATATGGAAAATACTACTACCAATCAAATCAAGCGATGGAAAATAATGGAATTATGCAAACGAAGTTAGAAAGTTGTGTGAATAACTTGTCATGATTATGAGCAGCAATAAATTGTGCTCGAAACCTGGTCATCAGTAAATATTACTGTTTAACACCGTGAGACATTATCAAAATAAATTTTACCCATAATGGAACAAAATACGGTTCAAGAATTCTTTTCATTTGTAGGTTAGTGGTCATTGATCATAATCACTATTCAACCAGCATGCCATATTCTCAAGGAATGACGCTTGCACTCTTCACTCCATCCCTCTGAAAAATATACTGATAGCACGAGTAGATGAAAGAGAATTCTTGAAATCATCTCTCTGAGGTTCACATTGAATCTTTGCATATCAGTTCAGGTAGAATCAGGTGATTGATACATCAGTGAATGTGAATATTGTGGTTGTAGGTGATAATAGGTGCCGACAAATAATGAATCACATCGAAAATTTCTTACACATTGAATGTTATCCACTCCTCAGCATTGTAGATAACAATTACACGCACTTGTATATTTTACTTTGTTTGAATTTGTTAACCGATACGATGTCGCTACGCGATGTCTTTTATTTCAAGGGGTATTATGAGATATTTCGTCTGTGGATTCACTTCCAATGGACGGTCTGAGGGACATGATGACTATCAAACAGCTAGCATCCATTTCATATTATCACTGTGTGTTTCACAATTTCTGTCTTTCCAACACATTTGAACTATTCGATTACAAATATATGCTGTTCTAGATGTCAGCCACTCAACTGGTCGCTGCTTACATTCATTTTCTGTATCCATACAGTTTGGCGCTATTCACTACTTGAGGGAAGACTGCGGTATTCACTGATTTGTTTACTCCTTTCGAAGTCAAACTGACGCGTGTCCACTAGGGTGTGGATATATGACAAGATACAGCTAGTTCACAACTGACAGTCATAGGTTTCAACACACTTCCACGTCGCCAATACCGGAAACTAAAATAATCCTGTCGAATCTCATGAACAGGGAGTGTTTCAGTAGGACCACAAATGCTCTAACAGAACTTAAGATAAGAGGTGATGGTAGAAACAGTAACGCATTACACTTCATCAAACAATAGATCCAAATCGGTATCATCCAACATACATCTCAGTTCTTGAATATTGTCGTGTTCTTGAATTTGGGTCGTTCTTGAATTTCCTTTGTTTGGTGAACAAAGGCCTTCCTGTGTATGTTGCCATACACTTTCGGTAGATAACAAATAATGCAGTGGTTAGAATTTAGCGATGGATCTCTCCTTCATACCTCATATATTTCACGATAGTTAATGAAAACCAAGTCTAGAGTTTTGTGTAGACGAGTATTGAGTTTGACCATGTTCTCATGACAAAATGATGTTAGAAAGCTGTGATCGTAAGAATTAAATATTTTCCCAGGCTATTGACAAAGAATTACCAAACTTAGGGAAGAAACGTAAGCCATTCAGGCAACACTTAACAGTGATGTAGCCTATATTGTCACGGGAAAACTTAAAACGTACATGATTAGATGCAAATATTCTTTGAATTGATTCAAGTGTCTGACACTCCACCATGAGTTTTATCAGAACCATGTCTGTCTTGACGGAAAACTATACATCCATGAAATGATATCAGATTGTCGCTATACTACACGTTGAGCCAAGTCCCTTATATAACTAAACACCAGCAATTCGGTACACGAATGAGGATATTAGATATTGGAATAAGTCGAATTTGTTAGTCAGAGACCTGCAGCTAGTGCTTAAAATTCGACGACAGTCATACAATTAATATCTGTAAGAACGAATGCATGCTCTCAATGACGTGGTAGTTTAACCTCAAACTTCTGAGACGGACCTGTTGAGTGGATGAAATGCTAAATGGCCTTTCTATAAATTGGAACAGCGCAAATGTCGTACACTAGAGTGAATCGCTAATTGCACTCAAACACTAGTACACATTTCACGTTTACAGATTATTAAAACTTCTCTCACCGTCATACTAATTATCACAGTAACTCACGACACAAATTCTACATTGTGGCATCCATCGTTTGTACCCCGTAGCTTCACAACTCTGTTGGTGACACACGGAGATTTTCAACAAACTCACTACTCAATAAAATTACTCTGATAGCAGCACACGTCTTACTATGTGATCTGGTCAGTTGTATCATCATAATAAGGGGAAGAATATACCGGGTAGTTGTGTAGTCATCTCACTCTGAAGTGACGATATCACTGGTGGTTTGATTCATGGCACCTGAGATGACTCACTATTCCAGGCTTTCATTACATTCGAGTCTCTGATGTTCCCACTATAGCAGATGAATGAACTTCACACGCTGTATTGACGAAATATCCAGGCGTATGTAAATTCAATAAGGTAGTTTACAATGTGGCGATGTCAAATTAAAACACGAAGCAAGACTAAATGTAGACTGTGTAAATACAGTGCGTATAGAAATATAAATATATGCATTGTTATATTTATGATAATTGTTCTGTTGGAATCCGAGTGCGAAATTGGGTCTCATTACCACAACACTTCTTCCCATTCTCTGTGGTGCTATTCAGCTGGTGCCTCAGTTGTCCATAATCTCTGATCTCCTCCTCGCATAATCGTCTCCATGTCAAACTTGGACTCACGCGAAACTCGTCATTTGCCATTCGCATTACACTCAACTAATGGCCTGTCGCGTGGTGTCGTTCAATGGTCTCCTTAATGTGTGACAGGCCCATCTCTGTTTTTTTCTGCATATTTGTTGAGCAAGACTATGTTGGTTTTTTCGTTCCTTGAGCTTCTTGTAGTGAGTTCTTTCTGTCTTGCTATATGATTGTTATATCTTGCTCTGTCTGCGCCTGAACTTAATCTGTCTATATGCTCGTCGTACCTTCCGACTTAGTAAAGCACGCAAATATCAAAAGACAAAGGCTGGACTGTGACTGTGTATTGAAGTGCAACAACGATAAAGAAAGCCATGGTATTTATACATTTTACAACAATATGGACAGCTAACAGCATTTGAAATAATTGACCTTAATAGCCAATAACAAAGTGTGTGAGAAATGCTAATATGCCATATGTGCGACATTGACAGTCAGTAACAAAATGTGTGGGAATGATTATATACCATATATACAAAATTAGCAGTCACTACCAAAATGCGTGAGAATGATGATATACAAAATTAGCAGTCACTACCATAATGCGTGAGAATGACAACATACCATAAATGCAAGTTTAAACAGTCAATACCAAAATATGTGGGATCCTATCACCTCCCCCCGTAAAGAGTGTAGGACTTGCTTTTTGGATCTATTTGAAAAGGTTTCGGAGCTCTTCTTTGTCGAGCTGACCTTTGCGTGGTACTGGATAGAGCGTGATCTGTGTGTCTGCCACATAACTGTCCTTTTTCATTCGTACGATAATACAGCAAGAATTTATCCAAAATTTTTTCTGTTGTTCCCTCCCCCTTCGCTTTTGCATAAGCACACTTAAAGGTGTCGACGAAACGTTCAGTAATAGTTGACGTAGGAGGGACACTGTTGCAATTGATGTGGCAGAATGCATAGGAAATATCTCTGGCCATTTGGAAAACGCGTCGACACATATTAAGAAATGCATACTATTGAACGGTCCAGCGAAGTCAACATGAACACGGGACCATGGTTTGTCCGGTCGTGGCCAGGAACATAGTTCTGTCTTGCGTGGACACTTTGATGCTTGAGCACATTTACTACACTTGCGAACGAGGTCTTCGATATGGTCATCGATGTTGGGCCAGTAAACGTAACTGCGAGCGATCGCCTTCATTCTCCCAACACCAGGATGTGATATATGAAGCTGCCGAAGCACATGGTCACGAAGATTAGCTGGAACGACAACACGATCAGCAAACATTATGCATCCATTAACGATGGATAGGGATTTGCGTCGCTGGTAAAACTGTTTTAAAACATTTGAATGAACATGTGGAGGCCAGCCACATCGGATGAACTTTGATACTTGCTGTAAAACTGGATCACGCAGTGTGTGTCTGGCAACCTCAACTGCAGTCACCGGAAGATCGTCCAGAGAGATAGACATTATAATTGGGTTGTAATTTACACAGTCAAAAATGTTATATAGTTGCGCTGAACAGAATAAAAACTGTCGTCGTTTGCTTGTTATAACTGCGATGAATTAAGTAAATCCACGTCGCCAATTGTTGTAACTGCACTGAATTAAGGTAAAACCCCGTCGCCAATTTGTTATAACTGTAGGGGATTGAATGATGACGTTTTCACCTTATTCTGTCTGCGCCTGGAATAATCTGTCTATATGCTCGTCGTACCTTCCGACTTAGTAAAGCACGCAAATATCAAAAGACAAAGGCTGGACTGTGACTGTGTATTGAAGTGCAACAACGATAAAGAAAGCCATGGTATTTATACATTTTACAACAATATGGACAGCTAACAGCATTTGAAATAATTGACCTTAATAGCCAATAACAAAGTGTGTGAGAAATGCTAATATGCCATATGTGCGACATTGACAGTCAGTAACAAAATGTGTGGGAATGATTATATACCATATATACAAAATTAGCAGTCACTACCAAAATGCGTGAGAATGATGATATACAAAATTAGCAGTCACTACCATAATGCGTGAGAATGACAACATACCATAAATGCAAGTTTAAACAGTCAATACCAAAATATGTGGGATCCTATCAATGATCTTGGCTATGGAGCCAGCGAAGTCGGCTGTTGATAAGCGTCTACGGTGACGTGTTGCAAACGCCTTCTGTGACATGAAGTGTACGTTTCTGACTCATACTGAAGAACTAGCTGACCAACAGCGGTGTTGGAAATCCGAAGTTTACCCTATGTGATGAGTGGAGATTTTTCAACTGACTTCAGAGTAGTTAAATCCCCTCATGCCTTACTGACACTGACTGGTTCTGACATCGTCATCCGTGCTGTCGCTTCAGTTGAGAGGATGTTGCTCAGATGAGTAAAGTATGTGACCTCTTTGAAATTTCTTCCGTTCATAGTGATTGATGCTTCCTGTTGTTGTTGTTGTTGTTGGTTCGCTACTTTTCTACGCTTCTTCACACATTTCTGAATGAAAAGTGTAGGACAGGATGAAAGTAATAAAAAGTAATGCAGTAAGGTGGAGAGAGAGAGAGAGAGATTAGCCACATAATTCTTGAAATGACTCAACGCCTGTAGTGGGGATATTGGAAGTGGCCACATGTGACTCAGTGAAGGCATGAGAGGCATGAAGGAATTCAACCACTCTGAAATCATTTTGAAAAGCGATGAAGCCAGCTGAATAGGACCTCAGAGAATTTGACGAAGTGATGTGGTGTTGAAACTCAATTTTCCACTCGGTATCTGACGGAACAATTACAATAAGTATATTGATGTATATCTCCATATTTCAATATGCACTGCGTTCACACAGTAAAACAATAGTACATTTTCTATGTGCACAATGTGTAAGAACATCAGTAAGTTAGGCTGTCTATTGCAAGCAGTGAAATGCAAAAACGTGTGTGTGTGTGTGAATGTGAGGCATAGATATCCAGAAGCTTCTAACACCCACACTATGCATATGTATGTGCTGATTCAACTTGGTCAGTGTGATCATAGAAATGGTAATGATATTAATGTTGGTGACAATAAGAAATTCTTGGAAGTATTTGTGTGACCTAGATGTGAATCTGTGAGTTCACTTTGTTTATGATTGTATACAAAGAGTAGAAAATTATTTTCTCATGGAAATCAATGAAAAGCATTCAGGTTTTGTGAAATATTGCAGAAGAATTATAGGAATATGCACTTTTAATAGAGTATGAGTACCCTGGTGAACATAATACGGTGATAAAAATTCTTGAATCATTATAGTAATAATAACATGAAGAAAAGGCGCCATTCACCAGTGAATAAAGATACCCTCAATGGATTCCTTCACTTATTTCACTTTTCTCGATAATATTGTTTTAACTAAAGGAGAACGCGATAAGGACGTCAAAGTCAGACAGGATCAGAAAAGCGAGACAGACATTCATGAATCTGAAATCAGTGTGTATATCTGTTACACCGAACATAAAAATCAAGATTTGAATTTTCAGTAGTAATGTGAAGTCAATTGGTGATTCTGTTTGACTGAGAAACAGGACGCATCACAGAAAGCATTCTCAACAGGCCACTGCAGACCTTCATCAACCGCTTCCTATGCTCCACAATAACGATCAGATATCCAGTGAAGATATTCAGTGAAGAAGAATTCTGACAATTCAATCAAGGGTGATATGGAGGAGAGTGTGTGAAGAGGAGATGACACCTTATGGCCACTCGTGAAGCTAGCTGAATAGGAGTGCAGAGGACAGGATGAAATCGAGATGTCCGGTTGAAGCTCTCTGTTCGACTCGTAACCCAAGAGAATAATAATGATAATAGTAAAACATCAAAGTTGTTTAATGATTACTGCGAGGTGTATTCATCTTTTGCATGTTTATTTTCTGACTGCATCTTTTCTCTGATGCATGCGCTCTAATTATCTTACTGGCATCAATGCCCTCAGCTTAACTGATATTTTTTTGAAGGGAATTCGAGACATTAGAAACAGGAAGTCATATAGACCATGAATAAAGCCACCTATTACTGCTAAGCTGTTGGTGTTTTAGATGGTGTTTGTTTCATTTTAAACCTAAATTACACATGTACTAATTGAAATTGTTTCCACCGGTTATGCCTCTTTTTTACCATTATGTTTCATAGGCATCAACAAGCATTGAGTATTCACACGCACAGACACGCACCCCATGGAGTTTAGAATATTAAAAATATATGAGAATGAGATATACACTTGAAGTCGTGGGAAAGGCAAACCAATGGTTGCAGCCAGGGGCACTAGAAGCCGTCATTAGGTGAAGTGAGATGTTGCTAAACCAACTCATCACTAATGTTTTAGATAGAGAGAAAAATATCTTCACTTAGTAACTGAGAAAGGATTTTATCCCTTCAGACCCTGAGCAACCTCTCTATGAACAACGCTCTTCCTGCTTCCCATCAGGTGGGACGGCAATCAACTTTTGATGACTTTGTACTTGGATGACTAACAATAAACCTGAACAATGCCTTGTTTGGCAGGCACACATTCATGTGATGAGAAACGTCTGTTGGATAGGACACTGCTTAGTTACTCGGGTGCATTACGTTAACGACACTTTGTATTCTTTCATTTATTTTTATACTGTTGTTAATATTTCCAATTCTATTTCAATTTCATATTCACATAATTATTAAGGAAAATTGATGGTGTAGATACCATGTTTAGTTATATCCGCACAGGTCTTTTTATGTATGGAGAAAGTTGGATACAGTATTCTACTGCATGCTGAATATTCTACAATTGTATCAAAATTTCTGTTTAGAACACAGGTATGGTTATTATTAACAGGGGTGTGTTCTTCCGACGGAGTCATCAATTAGGCTACGCATTCGTTAATGTTCAGAGGAGGGATGTGAAAGTTACAAATCTATTTCTGACCAAGAGTTGAATGATAAGGAAAATCAAAGTGAGAATTATGGAATAAAAGGGTAATGATGATAGCAGAATATAAGCAGGAGTTTCGGATAAGCAATATCATGTGATAGTAAGTATCGAGAAAATGGATTGTCTGTGTTGGCCATAGTGAAGAGAAAGGTTGATCATACTTCTTTTGGATGCACAGAATCAGTCTGATCCATAATGTTTTAGTTACGCCCACATGTCATAATCTCATTTCCACGGGTAGGTGTGATCAGATATTGTGTAGGACACAATTTGTATACTTGTGAACAGCCGTCATTTAGGCATGAATATCTGAGAATGAAGTATAATTAATATTGTTGTGTGAAGTATCCAGAATGCCAGTAAAATAGTAATGACAATAAATTATCACCATGGTACATATGAAAGTTTTTTACAGATGTCTTCACTATCGTACTGAATGAAATAATTTTGAAATTCAGGTCGATGTTGTGAGTGTGCTTTAGCTAACTAAAGTCATCCGATATATTTCTGATGAAATTCTCTTTAAGACAATGACGTTGTCGGAAGGAGTGCAAACAATCGTCAGCCTGAATCTCTGAATTCTGAAAGAAATATATACGGCATCTGTTAGTACACATTTTCTTTTGTAATACGCCATGTTATCTACATGACCATATTACTGGCATTTACATTGTAGATACTTCTTTCCGAAATTGGACAATCGATGTCCACTTGAATAGCACAAAATGAAACACTGAATACTTTTTCAGACAGTCTTTCTCCATTGGTGTTCAATCTATCATCAGTTTCAGTGTTTAAACACAAGCCACGAACTAGCACATAACGACGTCTGTGTAAGCACCAGTCTAAAATGCAACATAACATAGTTGTGTAATCCATGTGTTGTCTTCATATCCATAATTTGTTTTGTACAGCCATTGCAAATTCATTCTCATCGCGTGATTCTCACTGAAACCGCTCCTCAGAAATTTCAGAAGGGTGTTTGTCCATTGTTAAATTCCTATTACATCAGGAAAAGGCACATATCAGTAGTTAAGAGGAATTAGTACATGGACAGAACTATACACGTAGATATCAACTTCCACATTTCGCTTAATATGATTAAATTAGTTAGTTTGGGGGAAACAATATGTTATTTCATTCATGTTGGTTTGGAGCGGAATCCAGCAGGTGCAGTTCGTCTTATTTGAGGATTGTCAGTTGAATGCAGCTGCATCTTCAGTCATTGGTGGAACTTGGACCCAACACACATCGTTTCAAAAAGTAAAGGATTGTTTACTAGGCCACCAGACATGAGATCCACATCATGTTTGACGGGTGACCGTTTCTACTGGGAAATGCAGGCATATTCAGCTAGAGAGTTTCAAACGAGAGCAAATGGATGTTTTGGATTCCCCTGCTAGCAACCATCAATAAACATTCATGCAAGCCCTAAATATTGCTAAATTGTTTGTACTAGTGGCTGATATTTGAACACAGGTGGAACATTTCATCCGATATAATCGAGTGATATGAGAAATACGTACCAATCTACTTGAAAACAAAAATTCAAAATTACTTACGTGTTCTTCTGAAGTTCATACGAAAATGATGATAGTAGGGTACTAAACCAAAAGGAGACAAAAGTTGGCATGACCTAATAAGTGTAAGATAATGACTAATCAATAAGCTACTGTAGAATGGACAAGAACTAGTGGAAAGGCTATAAGGTATTTTTGTATAAGATCTGTGTGGAA